ACCTGTGCATGCACAAACTAGGTAACTATAAAGCAGATACAGAACTTCATGGATCATCTCCCAGTCTGACGTATCCATATTTTTATTTGCCCCTTCTCTATCTACAATAACTCCATGAGTTGTAAACTGTTTTTCTTTTAAAAACGTACTGAATATATGCTTTAAATTAATATATTTTATGATTGAAATTAATTTCCTGCTATAGCTACAACAAAGAATATTTAAAATTTTAAATGTTCATTTCTATTTCATTTTCAGACTAAAATGAAGCAGACATACTTCTCCCTATTTTTCTCAGTAAGTATAGCTAAAAGGCCTGGGCAATATATTTAAAACAAATATGATTCTAGAAGGTGGCAAGAAGTCAGACCACCTAGGGACCTGGGGCCAGGAATGTCACAGCCTAAGTTCTGCGAGTTTTCCTTCAGCCTCACACATCCCACGCTGGGACTGGAATGGCCCGCAACCAGGAAGGGCCAATGTGCACAAACACACACAGCCCCGGAAAGCTGTCCGTCTCTAGCCAAAGGACCACTGAAGGCGCAATCTAGCAGAACCGAAAACTTTTAGATAATACATCCCATCTGATCACTAAACCCCACAGAAAAAAATATGGCCCCACTTGCAGCTCTGTGAGCAAAGGCCAGAGTACTGAGCCCAAACCTCCCTCACGCAGCTGTGAGGAGGTGCTCCCCACAACCACCCCACCCTGAGGTGGTAACAGAAAACCAAGCGATCTGGAGGCACTTTTAGGATTTGCATCTGCACCCACAGATAAAGAGGCTCTCTCTCTCCCCACCACTCTTTCTGGCACCAGATGCAGCTGAGCAGGGAGCTAGAACTTTGAAAACCACTAAGAAGTAACAAGGCCTCTCCTCTCCATGTTGGCAGGATATGCACATGGGAACAACGATGTGCCTCTTCTCCTCCCAGCCAGGGTGGGATAAGCCAAGGCCTACAAGGGGCCTGAAATCCTACCTTCTCCCAGGAGTAAAGAGGCACTCCCTCTGCCCAGGGCCTCAAAGGAGGCTGAGTGGGAAACAGAAGTTTACCCCACACCTGACATTAACAAAATACCCTCTACCTCTCCCCAACCTGTGCAGTATCAGAGGACACCTGTTAAAACACGAGACTTAAACAAGATTGAAGGTAACAGACAAAATATCCAAAGCACATAGGATATAATTAAAAACCACCCATCATGCCAAGAATCAGGAAAATCTCAACTGGAATAAGACAAGACTGTGAACAGACAGCAACACTGAGATTACACCAATGACAAAATTATCTGACTGGAACTGAAAGTGACCATCATAAAAATGCTTCAACAAGCTACTATGAACATGATTTAGACATGGAAAAAATTTAAAAGTTTCAGCAAAGAAATAGAAGACATAAAGAAGAACCAAATAGAAAATTTAGAACAGAAAAATACAATAACTGAGTAAATAAACAAAGAACTGGCCCACCAGCACAATAGAGGCAAGAGGAAAGACTCAATAAACTAGAGGATAGAACAATCTTTAAAAAGCTTTAAAAAAATAACAAAAAAATGTCCAGAACAATGAGGACTTGTGGAATTATAACAAAACTCTTTCCTCAGATGGTGAACAGACATACAAGCTAAACAAAATGCCTTCCTTTGAGTTCAGTTTGGCTATGACACCTTCAAGTACATTTTCCTATCACTTATTTAGACAAGGTGATAAAATATACCATAAGTTAGTTTACTTTTTAATGTACATGGTGTAAAAAGGAAGACAGAGGCACTTCTTGGTGCTGAAGTAAAATCATCTGAAAAAAGTATTCTTTGAAAGTATTGTTTCCTGTAAAAAGAAGATCTTTTCAAGTTGAATATTAGTTTTGAAGACTCAAGCTGTTACTCTTATATTATTACATTAATAGTAAAAGCAGAGAGAGGACCACAATAATACTACTGGGTAATGGTCTTAACCACGAAAAGCTCACAGCGTGGTACGCCAGCTGTAAGCCTCTCAGGTGAGCTGTCATTCTACTCACAGAGAAACTGAATTTGCAAAGGGGTATATCTCACTACAGGGCCCAGAATAAGTCATTCAATGTAAGTGGAAGAAAACAGAAAGTTCTCTCAATATTCAGTACTGTGCCTTCTAATAAACACTGTAATTCCAAGTATGGGAGTGGTAAGTGTGGCCGAATACAATGTAATTAGCCCTTGGGGAGCAGAGTGCATTACATTAGTGAATTTATTCACTCATTCAAGAATATTAGCCAAGCCCACACTGCACAGCTATTGCTCTAGACACTGGGAAGGGAAGGTCCTAACCTCATGGAGCTTACACTAGAGCGGGAGGAAAACAAAAAATAAGCAGATCAAAGTAAAATAACAGATGGAGATAAGTGCTATGAGGAGGGGGTAAAAGCAAAGAAAGGGGACTAGGGAATGCTAAGCATGTGCACACTGCACACAGGGTCCGTTTTCTGTAGCACAGTTAGGCAGAGCCCCCACGAGAAGGGAGCATTCGGGGCGGTATCCGGAGGAAGCCAGGGCTCGCTGAGTTACAATTTTCAAAAAGTTACAATGTGACTCATACAGATACAAACTGACATGCCAAAGATTCAGTTTATTTACTTACTAATAAATGAATTATTTAAGACTGAATGAATCAATGCTAAGACTGGTTAAAAGAGCATTTGAAAAGGTGTGTGTGTGTGTGTGTGTGTGTGTGCAATATATAAAATTTAAATAACCATTAAAGTAAGAAAGAGAGCTAGATTAGAGACAAAATTGATGACACGTTCTATAGGTGAATAAACAATATTCTCTGAAGTTACCTCTTCTAACAAATTGCATCTCTTCTTTGAAAAATGAATAAATTAATATGTAGTGTCAACACATCTGAGACTTTGAATCAATAGTAAACAGTAAGTCAAATAAAGGAGATTCTCCTAAATAATTCTTGGGTAGGTTTATGAAACAATGTCCCCATAGGACACTGAAAGAACATAGTGTCATCCTTTTCCTTATTTTCAAGTTC